TTTATAAAGAAGAAATTTAAGACTAATTAAGCTCTCCTGTTATTTGACCCACTGAAAACTTTTTGTGACCAGAGACTTTTCAACGTGAGTGCTGCTGGATGGCATTGCTGTTCACTGGGGTTTTGTGCTTGCAGAGAATATTTCTGGGCTTGTTTTGCTCTCTTGGGAATTGCATTTTGTATATATGCATTTTTATAAGCTAACCTTCATGACTTGGGAAGTTGGCCTCAAGTCCTGTAGATCAGGTAACGTCCCGTTAAAACTGAAAGTATTTCAAAAGGAAGACCACAGGTCTGGGGGAATAAGAATGTGTGCTAGTTTTCTGTTGAACTGATTTTACATAGATAGTCTTGCTTAAATTTTGAGACCGCTTCATTTATTCAGGCATTTCAGCTCAGGGATTAAAAAGTCAATTGGTGGTGGCAGATGGGAGAATCTTCACTGGTCATTCAGTAAATTTAGGAATTTTGTATTACTTTGCTCTTGTGCTTCCATGTGCTTGCTTTTCAGTGAAGATGAGATTTGTGAATTGATGTTACTGCTGAGTTTTGATACTGCAGATATTTATAGCGTAAATTGGATTAGTAAACTGTGTGGTTGCTGTGTCTCAGAAGAAACATGTAGTGGTGTGTCTTCCTTAAATGTTGAGTTTGTTAGATCATCAGTGGGTTTTCCATAATTATTCTGACAGTCTGTTTCAGAGTGCTTTCACTAACTGACCTTCTTGCAAAGGCTTTATTTTGTTCTTTTAATGAAGCTGTATGTCTGCATTACATTGTGGATGTGTAAATGAGGTAACAAGTATGCTAGGGTGATACACTTATGGAAAGGAATAGATCCTTTGAATGCTTGACTTGGAGGTGATTCTGTTCTGTGCAGCTGTGCTAGAATGCAACCAAGATTTTGCAGCAAAATGATGAGACAACAAATCTAACCAGGTGCAGCAATTCCCGTGCATCAATCATTTGTGCATCCAACAGAGCAAGGATTCTCCTGTATTTATAGGCCAAATCCTCTACATTTATCAGTCATATATCCAGTAAGTGGGTTTTGCTGTATGGATAGTCCTGGTATAAATTTGAATAATATGAAGAAGAAATGCATTTCACATGATGTTTTGTTTGTTGGGGAAGGGGAAGTTTGTTTTTGACTCATGGCAGTGCTTTATTGTAATGTCAACTACAGGAATCCAGAATGAAGACTTCTGTCCCACACCCTGAAGCAAATGTTCAGGTAAGAATTGACACTTTTCCCGCTTAAAGTAAAGAAAAGAAATGTAAGAGTTACTGTGCCTTATGTGTGGGATTGCGATTTATAAGAAGCATATTAAATCGGATAAGGAATACATTTAGTTTTAAGGTTGAATGTACATGTGATTAATCTTTATAAAAAGTTAGATGTGTTTCTTTGTGAGAGAAGAAGAAAGAACTTAAAGCAAAGGCAATGAACTCTGTTTTCATTTGGTTCAGAGGCAGAACTCTCACCATGCAAGATCTGCATTTGATTTATCCCCTCCCCTCCTTGGCCAGCAGCTAGAGTACTTAATGCATTTGGAGCTATATTGATGTGTGGTATACCTTACAATGATTTCCATACCCATTTCAGTAGAAATTATTTCACTATCCAGTTTTGGTTTTAGTTCAGTACTGTTACTGGTCAGTTATTGTAAACTTTACACATTTCCAAAGCATTATATGGGTATTAATTAGGTTTGGGCAATGTCCTGCTGCCCGGTAAATAATGTCAGTATCTGAACAGTCTGTGCTGTGCTTTGAAGGTAATACTTTCACATGGTACAAAACTAAAAGGTGCTGCACCGTGCAGAGGTACAAGATGTTATCATCATGTCAAACTCAAGGAATGGTGACTCATTTAGAGAGAGTAAGTAATTGGAAAGACAAACAGGCTTGTTCTGAAAGTCATTGTTGGAGATGAAAGTATTTGCAATAGAACAGTACTTCAGATTGTTGGTTATGGGGCAGGATTCAGTTTGATTGATGTTGTGTTCAGGTTTCATTCTGTCACCTACAGAGTGAAAACCCACAGCTCAATTGGAAATAAAATTCCATGTTCTTTTGTTTTGTGTACAAATTTAGGTTTTCTGAGATAGCAGTGTAGTCTGTGAAAGAGAACTAAATTTATGGGATACTGACAGTAACATAAGCAATCTGGTGGTATTCACCATCCTGTCGTGCTGTAAAGGAGATCATTTTCAAAATTGTTCCAAAACGTGTGTGATGAAAGAAGGAATATGAGCAGGGGAAAAAGGTGTTTTTTCTACTATCATGCAAACAGCAAACTAGTGCAAGATTTCATGCATGAGAGATTATTTTTCATGCAAGTAAAATTCAGATCTTTTAAATAAAGACACAGGAGTAGTTGATTCTTACTTTAGAATATATTTACATGTTTAAGAACATACTTACACATGTTTTCTGTGTTCTCTGATTCTGTTCTGTATTCTATACTTACAGTAATTTAACTGTCTGGGCTGCTGACTGAGTTGTATGCAGCTGAACTCATTACCCTTAAATTATGAATAACTATTTTTTACTTACACTATCTTGGAATGTTGTAAAACTTGAAATTGTGGGAAACAGTTTTATGGATTTTTTTTATTTTTTTTTTTTTTTTTTTTTTTTTTTTTTTGCAGTTTTTGAATGGTTATTACATTGTTTTTCAGATAGAATAAAGTTTGATTTTATGACACTAAGACTTTACAAACAGGAAATTAGTTTAGGTAGTCCTGATTTTTCTTCCCTGAAATTAGTACTGCCTTTCCCACTCACCATTGCTCTGAGGATCTGAAATCTAAGGTAGATGCCCCACAGTAGTTCATCTAGCCCTTTTCATGAAGATTTTTCTCCTGCTGAGTGCTGTGGCAGGCAGGGACCGACTTCTTCCCAAGCATCTCCTGCGTCGTGCAGGCCTTCTTGCATGGGAGCCAAAATCTGCAGCTGCCTGAGTTTTCTAAGGCTGTTGTTGCAAAGGGTTACTTTCCATTGCTGGAAGTTCCATAGCAGTGGCTCATCCCCAGCGGCCTTTCTCACTTTTTTTCTTTTGATTACTGTGAAGTGTTACCTAATATCGTTAAAATCAAGGGATATATTTTGGATTAAATGTGGAAAAAAGTGCATAATCATATCTGTCTGCAGGATGTGATAACATAGGGCTAACTTGTATCTGCTGTTGGTGAGTTCATCGTTCTCAAAACGTTGAAAAATTGTATGTTATCTGCTTTGAGTGTTGATGTTCTGAGACCAAAATCGCCATTTGAGCTTTTCTCTCAGGAAGATGATGAACATTTATCACCTGAATTTCAGTGATGAAGTGATGAACTTCTGTACCCAAATAGGTGCAGAACAGCATGAGTGCAAATAGAAATGGTCCATCTCAGCATATGACAGAATATATCAAGAATGTACACAGGTAGAAACGTTTACTGTTTCCTCCCTTTATAGATGAAAAGGTTCCAGGACATGAATCAAACAGTCATGAGGGAAGAGTTATGGTAGCAGGTCTCTTTGGACAAAGACTTTTCATTGTTTTAAGGAGTTTTTCTTTAATCAGATGAGAAGGGGATTGAGAACTGGACATTGTCCTAAAATGAGATCTCCACTATTGACTGGTGTTATGAGAGCACATTTTAGATCTCTTTAAGTTAGTTAGTTTTCTTTAAGAATAAAGCTTCTGAATGCTGAAATATTTTCTTACGCGTCTGTGTTCAGATATGCTTTTGCAGCTTCCAAATCCAATTTTGTAACTTACAAAGTCCAACCAAGAGAGTCAGGTTAGTTCTCAAATTTTTGACTTGGTAACTTTTTTGAGGACTTGGCTGTTGAAGTCTTTGAGTAGCTGTTGAGCTTTATGTATAGGCAGGTCAACACGCAGCAAGGTAAAATGAGTAGGAAATTCTGCATTTCATTTGGTGCTTGCATGATTTTTAATTGCTAGAGAATCAAAAAGACAAATTTTGAAAATGAGATGTAAAGCCTTTCATATATATTTTATATATTTTATATAATATTTTGTATATTTTATATAATATTTTAAAATATTTTTATATAGTTATTATTAGAGGTAAGAGTCACCGTTTCCAGTACTTTTGAGTTTTCAAAGCTGATTGTGGAATAATGATACTGTAAGTCAATGGCTAAGGTAGCAAACCTTTTGCAATTTTGATGGTTTTGAATTTAAAAGGAAAACACAGGAGTCCCTTGGGTTTGTTGAGAATGTGGCTTATAGGTTGCTGTGGTATGACTGGGAGGATTCTGTGTGGCCTCTTCCTTGCCAGCTCCCCAGGTGGGGAACTCATTTGTGAGCTTCTTCAACAGGCAGCTCATTTGCCAGGCTAATTGGCAAGAGCTGTACTGGCCTCAGGCTCTGCTCCAGAAGTTGAGTTGTGTGGGTTTCGGGGCCGTGTATATGGTCTAATTAGCAAACTATAAAGCCAAATTTATGTGGATAATGTGTTGAAGCCTGACAGAACCTGTAATTAAGTTCTGTTCTTAGTTCTTAACTTAATAACTTGATTATTTTTTTTTTTAATGATTGAGTCTATAATTATTTTCCCAGTTTTTGTATGGGAGAAAACCAGTAGTGTTTAAGATGAAGGAAAAGCAACTCTTACCTAGGCCTTGGTTTGCTACCTTTCTATCTGATCTGCATGTCAAGTCCAAAGAGCAGAGGTCTTGAAATTTAGCTAAATGTAGCTCAAAAAATGTGATGTGTAGGAAGAAAAATATTTTTGTGTGTGTGACAAATGACTTATTTTTTGTTTTGTCTATTTGGATCACTTAAATTTAGGTAGACAGGCTCTGGTCAGAATCCCACTTTGGAAGAAAGGATGATGAATAGAATTGTAATGGGTTTTTCTTTTTTCTTTAATTATTGTGAGAGAAAGATCTGGGGAGGAAATTGCTGCATAGAATAGAAAAGTCATTAAGGAAATGAGTGGCAGTGTTGGTTTATTTACATTCCTGTTCTCACAAATGATTAATAGTGGAAAAAAGAGGATGCTCTTGGATATGCTGATTACCCTGAGTTTCCTTCCATATTCTGATACTTTGCCAGTTTTTTCATGCAAATTCGTTAGGCAACTTGGGCATCCACTTTCTCATGAGAAAAGGAGGTACCACCACGGGCTTATAATAACATATATAACAAAGAAAGGATCCTTTGACAGCGAGCTGCTGACTGCTGAGAGGAAGTCCTGCGGAGGAGAGAAGCCGAGGCCTGCAGCGGTGCGCAAGGTAGGGCAGCCGAGGGCTCACTGCCCCCTCTGAGTTTTAAATTAATGCAGCTGATACCGATTCAACGAAACGGGATCGGATGGGCTACAGCAGGAACGGGTCGGTGTTGTTCCCCTGCTCGTTCCGTTGGTTGCCGGCAGGTGGCTGTCAGGCTCAGGGAATGGTTTCAGCTGGGAGCCTGGTACTGCTGCGGGTGCGAGGCGTGGTACCGGCGCAGCTGTGGCTTAAAGTTCCTGTAAGGAGACTAACTACTGACTGATCACCTTTTATGCCAGATTTTGCACAACTGTAAATACATTTTTTCTGAACCGATTCAGTCAGATGTTAAATATTTTAACAAGCCTAAAGATACGCGGTGCTGATCTGTAGCTGCTCATTCCTTCACTCGTTTTCCTGCAGTTTGAATTTATACTGTGACAGACTCTCTGCGTTTCAGTATTGACTACAGGCATTAATCTGTTAGGCTCTGCTTGAAAGCAGCTGGCTGACCAATGCAGGTGGAAGTTGCTATGCATGTCTTAAGTTATTATCTTGGCACTAATAATCTTTATGCCTGCAGATAATGTAGTGTCTCTGAAATAGCTTGTTGATTACAACTGACCATTCCTATTCACCTAATTCCTCTTCCACTTTGTTAGCTTAATATTCTTTTAGAATAAGGAAATGTACATGGAGTTGGTGGGAGAATGGAGAAGACTTGTGTTAGATGGAGATCTGAAGGGAGCACAGCCATGGTGGTGACAGTATTCAGGGAAATAATTAAAACATTAACAAGTTCAAAATAATACTTTCAGATCATGACTTACAGACATTCCCTGATGTTCCTATAATAATTGTCCAGCCTTTACCTTGGGCTACAGTGCCAAATTATCATGAGTCTCTCTTCACTGAAAAAAAATGCAGTATGTTTGTGGTTGGTGCATTGCCAGTTTGTGCTGATTGCCACCATTTTCCCTTTGCTACATATGTCTTGGAAAGATGTGCTCTTAGCTTTGGGCAGGCAAATAGAGTGAACGCAGGATTTAATAAAAGCAGATGGAAATTCTTATTTTTCTCCTGCTTAAAGCTGGTGCAAGTTGTACCCTTTTATCCTGTTATCTGATAACTGGCAGTGCCTTTAGTTTGTTGGCTGGGGAGAAAAGATACACTTCTGCTATTGAAAAACAAGACCATTTCAGTATGGTCTGGAAATGATGTAAGAGGAGGGGATGCAGTTCTTTCCACAGAAATTCAGAGATAAGGGGATATTTAGAATAAGATCACTAAGCTCTGGCCAAGGCTGTGCTACTATGTGCAGTCGTACTTCTGCCTTAAAGCAAAGGTGGTGTGGTCCAAATTCAGCTGTTTTTCTGCTCCAAAATTTAAAAAATTAAAAAAAAAAAAAAAAAAAAAAAAAAGCTGAGCCTAGCCAAGTGTATAACTATGGATGTGCTGGAAGCTGCTGGGTGCTGTTGACCATGTTGGGGACCATGTGGAGACAGCAGTGCAAGGAAAGGTGTCAGGGTTCCTTTGTCTCTGATACTTTCTTAGCTGTGAAATAATGATTGTGTGCTCATCACATAGAGGTGTTGTTAATGTTAATATTTTTAGAAATTAGAGCACTAGGAGTGCTGATGGCGGAGGGAAATGCATGTATAAATAAGGGGATGCAGCTAAATTCTTCTGGCTTCAAAGCAAAAAGAGATGATGAGCTTCTGCAACATTTCTTCGTGGAGTGAAAATCCAATTTTGGTATGCTTCTGGTTGGCAGAGAAAAAGATTAGTGGCACCTCACACTGAGAAGGGAGGTATTTGGAAATAATTTGTTGGCCACGCTGCTTTCTGTGACCATGGGAAGTTGAACTGCTACTCTGTTAGGATGCATGCCTGTGGGGAGTGCCAGACAGAGCCCTGCCACTCCAAGTTAATCATGCTGGTTGTGAGTCTGCCAACATAATATCCTGTGGTACACTTGTAAACCCAACTAGCTTCTGCTGAGAGGTGAACAGGATTAATGAAATATATACCAGTTGTAATAAATAGAATGATGTAGGTTTGGCCTAAACCAAAATTGGGCAGTTTTCTGTTAAAGCCTGTGTAATTACTCAGTGATGGGGAAAACCAGCTAAATGCAGCAGGGAATTTACTTCATTGTTATCATGTTCCAGAAAGTTATAATGATGTACAAGGATATCAGAACAGTGCAGTTTGTCATGGAGCCTGTGCTGCATGCTATTTCTTCAATATGTCCTGCATGTATTTCCTTTCTTGAGTCCTTTTTGAGACTTTTACAGACTTTTTTTCTGAATACTCATGTTTTCAGAAATGCAACCAGGAGGAAAAAAGATCTGCAGGATAATATGATACTTGATATTTGTTTAGTTATATCTAGGGCTACTGCTAATTTTATTTTATGATAATGGGAACAACATCCAAATCCTTGATGACTGACAACTGCGTTTCTGACAGCACCCTGCAGAGATGCAGCGGGTGCTCTGCTCTTCCCTTACAGCCAGAGAGGGGTGCAGTATAGGCAAGCATCTCTCTGGGCAGGGCTGGACCTGGGACACTGGCTCCTAGCTGAAGTGAATGTGAAAGCACACCTGTGTGCACACCTCAGGTGTACACATGTATCTCTTGGTCAGGAGGAACTGCAACTTGAAAGCAAGCAAAAATCAGGGACCAGCTGTGAAGTGTTGTTTTTCAATGCAAATACTCATACAGCCTCTCAAATACGCTTTTAACAAAGCATATGCTCTTTGCATTTGAATTTCTGGAATCTGTAGTATGGAGAAAGGAGAGGAAAAAAAAAAAAAAAGAAAACCTGCATTAGGTCATAATGAAAGCCTTTATCTTATGCAGCACAGGGCAAACAGACTTTTTCAGTGTATTAACATAGGGTCCCAATTAGATGGAGAAACGTGTTTCCTCCCTAGGAGCGATGGAGGCACCACTCGCTCTCCATTTCCCTGCAGGGCTGCACATGACCAGCTCTCCTCATTCTCTCCCCATTCTGTGGCCCTACGTTCCCCGTGGCACAGAGGCTGCTGTAGTAATGCCTGTCCCATTTTCTTTAACACTCTCATACAGGTGCGTGTGAACAGGGAGCACAGCACTGGCCTAGGCATGCAGTGCTTAAAAGTGATTTGCTCTTCCTGAGCGCTGTGCGACAACATGCACATACTGATCAGCTCTGTTCAGCAGTGCTGCATTGCTAGAGCCCTCAGTGCAGCCAGCGAGATGCTTTTAGATGGGCACAACGTGTTTTGGGTTAATGTGTGTGTGCAGCTGAGTGTGCCCAGGTGTGTGGTGATGAGAGCACTGCCTCAGAGCACCCTGAATGATGAGAAACGATTTTTTGTGAGAGCAGTTGCGGCTGTCAGTCTTTACCTTCTTTCTAACAGCCATCTTGGTGGAAAAAAATTTATTCTAGGATTTATCGCCCCTTCTTTTCCAGGTGCCGTCGTGCAACCGTGTGAATCATCGACCCGCTCCGTGGAGGATGAGAAACGCGGGGCTGACTTCAGGGGGAAAGCAGCGCACTGCGCGGCTTTATCATTCACCGCGCGATCGGCGCGGACGCAACGGGCCGCAGGTGCGCGGCGCCGCCCCGCGCCGTGACTCAGCGCCGCGCGCACAAAGGCCGGGGCTCGCGCTGCCCGCGAGGCGCTCCCCACTCCTCCCGCCGCTCTCCCCGCGCCGACGGACGGCCGCCGCCCTCGCGCCCCTTTTCGGCGGCGGGAGGCGCCTCGGGCCCCCACACCCTCTCCCCTCCCCGCCGCCGAGGGGCGCTCTGGGGACCGCGGGGCGTCGGGAGCGGGCGGAGGCCGGGAGGAGCAGGGCGACGCGCCGGCCTCCGGGGCGCCCTGGGGAGAGGCGCCTCGCCCCGTCCCGTGCCGTCCCCCGCCGCCTCGGCCGGGCCCGCCCCTCTCCCAGTCTCCTCCGCGGCTCTCCTCCCTGAGCCGGGCGGGGCCGCAGCTCGCCGCGACGCCGTCCGCGCTCCGCCGCTTCTCGCTTCTCCCCGCTGACCCGGGGCACCGCCGCCGCCCGGCGGGACTCTCTCCGGCCGCCTCCGACCGACCCCGATCCCGGCCGCCGCCCGCGGAGCCGCCATGAGCTGGGGCACGGAGCTGTGGGTGAGTCCCGGCTCGTCTCATTGTGTCTGGGATCCGCCGCCTCCCCTCGTCTGCCGCGGCGGTTTCCCCGGGGGCGCGGAGCGGCCGCGAGGCGCTTTGTTCGGCGCCGGGAGCGGGCGGGGCAGGGCCGAGGCGGGCAGGGCGGCCGGGGGGCGCAGGGAGGGGGCGGCGAAGGGGGGGCGGCCGCGGGAGGTGGGGCGGGCGGCGGGGAGGGGGCGCCGAGGAGGGGCGGGGGGCGCGGGGCAGCGCCTCGTCCGGCTCTGCTGCGCGCGCCGCCGGCGCGGCCATGGCGCCCGGGCAGCGGGCCGGGGGCACGCGCCGCTTGGCGGCCACCCGGGGACCGAAACGGTCCCTCAGGTGGGGCCGCGCCTCCGCCCGCGCCGAGGGAGGCGGCCGCGCCGTGCCCGGAAAGCACCGAGCGGCTCCGGGAGTAAATCGCTGCGGGCGGCCCCCTTAATTGGAAGCAGCTCGTGTGGAGCTTTGTCTCTGAGCGCGGCCCAGAACGTCGGTTAACGCCGTATTGTGTTGCTTTTTTTTTTTTTCTTTCCCTTGAATTGCGATTTGCTCGCGGCACGGGGACGCTGCGCTCGCTGTGCCTGCTTGCATTGGCTCCCAGCTCTCCGGGACGGCCTGGCCGGGCAGCTGCGGGGCGGTGCCGCGGGGCCGGTGTCGCCTTCGGATTCCGGTTGGGGCTGGCGGCGAGAGCTAGAAGGATGGGATAAAAAGGGGGCCGGGGGCCGTGCGGCCCTAGGTTCAAGGCTCTCGCGCTCCTTGCATTTGCTCTCGAAGACCGTGAAGCGCATAAACGCGCACCCGGGGCGGTTTTACGGCGCTCGAAGTATTGCGGCTTGAGTTCCGTTCAGTAACTCCACTTTCGGAGCTACC